TCAAATATATGCAACACTATCCCCTAATTGCTAACAATGTGTCTAAGAATTCTGTTTTACTTATTTTACAGAATTGATTTTAAAATTCCTTTTTGGTTAGTAACATCATCTGTTTAAATGTAGCTTACAGATACTTACGGTGTTCTTCCTATGTATCTACCACAACAGAAGGGCTCTCCCCTCCTAGATCTCAGAATCCAGTTTAAGAAACAAGGCCAGGTGATACAAAATAATTAACATAAGAAAGTCTTCAAAGAAGGTGAGTTCTCTTAAATAGGTTAAACAGTACCTCAATTTTTAGTTACTCTGTATATTTGCTCAGAAAATTACTTCTTTGAGATGATTAGATGTTAGAGCTCAATCCAAGTTCAACTGAATAATGGAAATTAGGAGCTCTCTCTCCTCTAGGCCTTCCCCAGCATTCTCTTCAACTATAAATGTACTATAATCTATGAACTTGCATACTAGTTTTGTCCTGTGATCTCCTAAAGACTCCTTAAAGTATCCTCATACTCAGGGCTCAGTACAATGACTAGCATATAGGAGATCTTTAGTAAAGAAAAAAAAATTATGAATGCTTTGTCTCCTTCCCTCTTTATTTCATATACTGTATGGTACATTAAAATCTGAATTGGTAAGCCTAGAAATGGTGGGAATTTGATCAAGTCACTGAAGCCTATTTCTCATATCTTCATTTCCTATTTCCACATCCCCAATTCAGTAAACCATTCCGGTAATTTCAACTTGTTAGGCAGCTATTTTGCACATCCTCTGAGGAATTATTTGTTATGTAATTGCTCATTCACATCCATAGTCTAGCTAGTGCTTCTCATATGACAATGATCCTGATACTGAGAGCATCTTACATCCTTTATTATTTTCCAAAAGGACAAAGAAAGATTACCTCTAAGTTTCATTGTCTGTGTTATATTTAAAATGGCATCCTAGACCATATCATGGGAATAGAAACCACTGGCAAGGACTCCAAAATTTGTATGAATCTCTAAATATTTTAAGTCCATCTTGTCTGCAGAATAGTAGAACCCAAAGAAAGACAAGCAATTTCTAAGTCTATTCTTGGGCCTTTCTTTATACTTCAAATTTTAGAGAATTCCCATCATAAAAACCTTACAATGATTTGTCTCTTCCTATGCTTGGGTCTTTTCCATGTGCAAGGTTCTATGGTGGCCTCACATTAGAATCTCTATAGATGTCTAAGCATCACTTCTATCTCTGATACTTGCAGTGAAGAAATCCAATGGTAGGCAACGAGGGGACTGGCTGACTCTGTAAGGCTCAATGACACACTACATGATGATAAAGTTGAGTCGGTGCTCTCCAGATTCAAAGAGATTCTGCTCTCCAGATTCAAAGAACAAAACTTCACTAAAAGAGGCTGGCTTGTATTATCAGGTGATTGTAAACATTTGGCCATCTATAAACATTCTGATATTAGAAAAAAATGTAGACCAAGGAAATTTGGCACAAATAGAAATAATACCTCTCCTGATCTCAATTCACTATTAGAACATGAATTAAGTGAAATATATCCTGATTCCTCTGTTAATGGGAAGGAATCTCAGAAAATCTAAAACTTTGATTTATGTAGGAAGTCATTTTGGCTGCCTTTCTGGTCACATTTGTCCTAGACTAACAGTATTTCCCCTTCCAAGACTTCAGCAAGGAAGAAAGAACAGTACGAACTTACATACAGAGAATTAAAAGAGCATATTTTTGTACAATGACACATGCCTTTATACTTTTTTGTAATGGGATTGTACTATCATTTTTTATGGAATCCAGTCACAAAATACTTTTGCTATTTAGCTACCTGACCCTCTTGAGTAAGAAGTCTGACTTTAACTCCAAAATATTTAATATTTCTAGTTCTAAAGCTTTTCATATTAATATCAAATGTCTTCAGCTCAAATATTATGTTTGTAAGGTTGTCATTAGGAGCTTTTTCTGCCTCCTACATCCTCTGTTTATTCATTCATTCATCCTGTCTTTCATGCCATCTTTCCTTGTGTTCAACCCCTACTAGGCACGGCACTTTTTCCAGGCACTGAGGATACAACAGTGAATAGTGACACTCCCCATTTTAACGTTAGCCAAAAGTTAGGAAATGAAAGGTTTTAGCCCACACATTAGCTTCCCTAGAGCTTTAGATAAAATCAAGTACACCTAAATCAATGAGTTCTTATTAAATACTTAATGTGCCCTGGGGCCGGTTCTCAAGATTATGTCAGTTTAAAAGTTCTGACAAATCTAAGGTAGCTATGGCAGGTATTGCTATCACTCTGTTTATGTTGCTTCACTATTTTGCAGAAACTACCAACAACATTAAGCATCTGGCAAAGGATCCAGGACTGGGAAAACTTGAAACTTATATTATCTCAGTTTCTGAATACCATAGACTACAACCCAGGGATCTCTAACACTCTAGCACAGAATGAAGCAAAACGTATTCTATTCCTTTTATTAAATGCATTAATAAAACTGATTAGAGTTGGGGGCAGGCACCTGGGTGGCTCAGTCAGTTAAGCATCTGACTCTTGATCTCAGCTCAGGTCATAATCTCACGGTTTATTGGGTTCAAGCTCCACATTGGGCTCTTCACTGACTGTGTGGAGCCTGCTTGAAATTCTCCCTCCCTCTCTCTCTCTGCCCCTACCCTACTTGTGCTCTCTCTCTCTCTAAGTAAATAAGTAAACTTAAAAAAATTAAAAAAGAACTGCTTAGATTTTACCACTAGAAGACAAGGACATTGACATATTCTTTTTTTTTTTAATTTTTTTTTTAACGTTTATTTATTATTTTGGGGACAGAGAGAGACAGAGCATGAATGGGGGAGGGACAGAGAGAGAGGGAGACACAGAATCGGAAACAGGCTCCAGGCTCTGAGCCATCAGCCCAGAGCCTGACGCGGGGCTCGAACTCACGGACCGCGAGATCGTGACCTGGCTGAAGTCGGACGCTTAACCGACTGCGCCACCCAGACGCCCCGACATTGACATATTCTTGATATTCATAGTCAAAGTATAAAACTCATATTACATAAGACCAAGAAGGCACTTGCTAGTTCTGGAAGTAGAATTGGTTTTCCCTTCTAGTACATCAAAAAGTTTTATTTAATCCAAAAATAAATACATACAATTATTTTTCACAGTGTCTTACTGAGAAATTAGGGCAGCTTTAGGAAATCCTGTCCTCAAGAGATCACATCAGAAAGACCAACATCCACAGTATCCAACCAAAAGAAACAACATAATCTAGAGCAGGGATCTGAAAATCTTTTCTGTAAAAACCCAGACTCCTTCACATCCATTTTAGGCTTTGCAGACAGTACCGTCTCCCTCACAATTACTCCGTTCTGCCTTTGTAGAGTGAAAACAGCCATAGACAGTATGCAAATAAATAAGCATGACTGCATTCTATAAAACTATTAAAAAAAAACAAATACAAAGACAAGCAGCTAGCCACATGTGGCCATAGTTGGCCAACCCATGATCTAAGTAGATCTGTATTCTGAGAAAATGTAATATTTCTCATTTGTATTTAGTTTCTCATTTCTATTTTATATCTTTTCAAATACTGAGATAAACTTAAGCATATACCTTAAACAATGGAAAAGATAAATTTTTCATTAGGTATCATTTTTAATAAAGAAGTTCTGATGAAGAATATCCCCCCCAAAAAACATTTAAATGCTATTTTTTTCCTATGTTGATAGGCTTTTAATCCTTGTTCTACATTGTATATCACTCTCCTTTGTTTTATATACAGTATAGTGAGTACAATTTAAATTTTTCTTACTGCTTTTCCTTAATCTCCCTGAACTGTGTACAAAAATATTCTTAGGGTCACTTGAACTATGTAGGGACATGCCCTACATCAGTTGGCCTCAATCTGCAGTTTCTTTCCAGTTGATATGTCCATTACCATCATTATCCTATATATTAGCTGTCAATGTCAGTGTGTGTCTTTCTACTAATCCCTTCTATGTCCCTACTTCCTTTCACCAGAGCTCCTTGCATGAAGTCAGCTCTCAACTGAAAACTGAATGAGGATTGAAAGACCCACATAACCTAGCTTCAGGAGTTACATAGAAGTAATCATGAGCCCAGTATTAAGTCCCCAGCCCTTTGAGGGAGGCCTACATTCCTCTTCTGGGAACATGGACTTTACAAAGGCTATTTTCCCCAATACTCAAAAGCTTGCCATCTTATTTCTTGTTGTTGTTGTTGTTGTTGTTGTTGTTGTTTGGCTAGGTTCCAGAACACAAAGTTACTGGAAAATCTGATTAACAGGTAAATGAGTTTTCTTAGTGTAGTAATACCTCTTTATTTTCAAAGTACTTGTAAAAACTGACATGAGCATATTCTTTATTGATTTTACTGCTTAAATTTACTCTGTTCCACTGTCACTAACTTTGTCTAAGATAGTTTAGCAGAAGGATCTCATCCTGTACCACTTAAGAATCTTCTAGGGGATCAATGGAAAACAGCAAGGTCTCACCCTATAGTTTTCTAATCATTAAGTTTGGGAGACAGAGAACAGGCATTAGTCATTTTTGGTTTGGTTTTGTAGTGTCTTAAGATTCACAGGTTGTTTCTCAAGTTAATCAAAGGCTAAGCACCCCTAGATTCCTATATCCACTTTCTTTTAGATGCCTGCATAAAGAATAAAATATGGAGTGGTTTACACAGATACTCTTCTCTTTTGTGGCACAAAATTTTGCACTTAATAAATGTGGAATTATCCAAGGACTTTAACTTGCTCTTCTTCGAAGAACGCCCTGCAAGTTTAATTACACATGGCTGCATTTCAAAGTATACACTTTTTTTGATGATCTCACCATGTGGAAAACATAGTAAGACTTTAGCCTTCAGTGTTGAGATCTTTTTTTCACTTTTTCTGGGTCAACTCTTGTGTCTTAAATGACTGTTTTTGGTAACTGTGAAATCACGTGAATGTTATTGTCTTTCTCTTGTTCATAGCACCAGAAGAATGGGCCACAACCCGCTCCAGCCTGAAGGCACCACCGCCAAGGTCAGCCAGAGGGGGATACAGGGAGCACCCCTATGGTAGATATTGAAGGTCCTTCTCACCCGTGACCTCACCTCAAAGACAATTCATAGCCTGTGGTCTCCACATAAACAGCAACAAGACAAGTAATAGTCCTTTTTTTTTTTTTTTCTTCCTATTCTAGGGATAACTGCTCATGATTTCTCCCATATATTTCTTGTATTTCCCCCTATACTGTTGGCGTGACATTGACACTAGTATTATTTTACAAAACGGACTAAAAAAGACATTGGCAAGCACTGTCTATAAACCATTCAGTAGGATGATATTCTCCTGGTTGTTTTTCATTGTTGTGTGTAATCTTTTTTTTTTCTTTTTTTTCTTTTCCTTTTTTTTTTTTTCTTAAGAAAGAGCATGACTCTGTTAACAGATTTTGAGTCTCAATCAACTAGCAAAAACTTTGTTTAGGGTTGCTAAAAGACTGTAATATGATTTTTGAACTAGCTGATAATAAAGTTGTAGATAAGATGTTTTAACCTGTCTTTTAATATCTGTTAGTTAGATGAAGATGTTCGATATTAAGTTTGTAAATTTAATTTTAAATGCTGTTTTAATGGAGTTGAAAACAAGCAGCTACTGTATGTATGTAGCTAACTGAATTTGTTCAGTGTTTTAACCTGTATTTGTTAAAAAAGAAAAAAAAAACACACACATAAAGTTCCATGTGTAAGCTACTCTAAATAGGAAACCACAATTTGTCAAATATGTTTGCCATAATTTGTCAATAAAGCTGAAAACTTTTGTAAAAACTAAATTTGGAATTACTTGTTTTCTAGCTTTAAATGCCTGCTTTATTTCTTCTTCAAGAGATGCCTAAAATGTTTTCTATTTAAAAATTACAAAAATGAACCCAAGCCTGTTTTAAGATATTTGTGTAATACTTAAAAACTGTATTAATAACTTATGGTTGTTAAATAATTTAAAAGTTAACAAACTAAACTGTTACATGAATCATGGTTAGTAAACACTAATGTATAACATGTTAATGGAAAAAAATGGATTTAGAATAATAAATGGATTTTAAACTATCCTCTAAGCTTTATCTTGCTAAACACAAATTCTGATTGACTTGTTTGCATTAGCATGTCTCTCGTGAGAAAGAGTAATGGAGTATAAAGAGGTAAGAGTACCACTTACCACTGTCTAAATGCCTAGTTCTTCAACCTTTGAGTTTCCCCGCACATTAAATATCCCATCCAACATGTAAGCATTGCGTAGATTCACTTTATTGTTTTCACTCAAAGGAGTGCGTGGACTTCATTTGCGTAGTTTATAACAATTTGTTTTGACAAACAAATCATCAGTGTCACTGGCCAGTTGTTGCTATTCAACCTCAAAAACTTTATTTGTAATTTTCAGTGCTAAATATCACCGCCCTTGAAGGCAGTTTAGAGGGCTGATATTTCTTTTGAGACTATCAGACTTGATGGCTGATGATTATTAAGGAAATATGTCGCAGGACTCAAAGGATGACTAAACGTTAAACAGGTAACACTAATAGTAACTCTGTAATTTTGCCTATGCAACAGTAATGTTAAATATTCTCAGTTATTAAGTTCCTGATAGTTAAAAAAGTAAACCTACAAAAACTTAACAAATAGGTCTATAGGCTATTAAAACAACTAATTAACATTAACTAGAGGCACCAAAATTATTTTACAATATATAACCCTCAAGGTAATAAACAGAACTAAAATTAACAATAATAGTAATGCAACTCTTGCTAACATCAAACGTAATCTAAATTTTGATGGAAAAAGAAAGCAAAAGACTTGATGGTAGGGACGAATGCCAAAACTTCATCTTTTAAATACAGTTTTTTTGTTTATGGTGGCTTTTGTCGATGTGATTGGTTTACTTTTTTGCTGCTAACCAGCTTAGGCATATTGCTGTTCAGTTTTTGCAGCTGGAGTTGCATGCTAATAGTTTTATGAAGTGTGTGTCTGTCATTGATTAAAATTGTAAATGTTTGCCTTGCACAAAATGCTGTTGAGTTATATTTAATTTTCCTTTTTTATTCTTTCTCACTATTTCAGGTATCCACAAGCAAAGAGCACATAATTGAATAGCAGATGTGATGGCCTAAGAAGGATAGAGGTAAGCTTATTTTTTATCCTCTCCGAAATAGGGAGATAATCTTTACCAACACGGAGCTATGGCAGTGAGCTAGGACACAAAATGCCACTTGTTGAAATACTGAAAAGGTTGAGACTGTTGTGAAGGAATGGAGTTATTTTTATCTTCTTTGAAATAAAGAGATCTAACTTGGTATTTTCCTGGCAAGGCTTTCTGAGCTTATTCAGAAGCTTGTCAAATGAAACGTGAATTAGTTGTTAATCTTCAGCCTTTTTCTTTGCTACGAATTACTGTATATTGCCTTTCCCTAATTGTATGAAGGAAGAGTATTCAAACCTTTAATCTGCATTTAAAAGAAGGAAATCACAATTGTTGGCTGAGATGGAGGGAGTGGGAAAGGGAACCCCATAACCAGCCTCTCGCCTACCTTTTGTCAATGAGATAATATTTATTAACATGAACATTTATTTAGTCAAATACAAAAACTAAACTTGCTCTTATTTTCCCCAGTTATTTCACTGGACTTGTCAATAAACTTCTTGTTTCTCACCTGCCATTCTATTTGATTCAGCAAATATTTACTGAATCCAAAGCGTTATAGGAAATTGAGACTTAATTTCTGTGCACAAGTAGAAAACTTTAGCCAATAAACCTCAGACTGAAAACAATGTAAGGGCAGTTATGAAATCCACAGACTGACTTGAGGCTCAGAGAATTGAAATGGCCTTGCCACAGCATTTAAAATAGGGGTAAAACCCCAAATTTCTCCTTCTGGGCCTGGTCTTCTTTTTACTACACAAATATCTATAATACCATGTAGCCTTAAACAAGTGCCATAGGAGCAGTATGAGAGAGCCTGGAGATATCTTTATGACTAAAGGTAGGACAGAAACTAAGGGACCCTGAGATGAGAGGGGTAGCCTGTCCATTGATGAGGATCAAAGCACCACCTGGTGAAGGGAATAGGCTGTGTAACTTCATGGAGTCCAAAAAGTTCAGGAAGTGTTTGAAAGGAAAGCAATGGACCCTGAGATCCAGATTCATGAAGGCACAGAGGTAAGGTCAAATCAGATGGCTGTCCTTGAGTGCTATGTTAAATTGTTCAGATTTTATGCGAAAAATAAAAGGAAGCCACTTTTGGTTTGAAGTAAATAATCAGAGCTAAGGGAAGTATCCCAAAGAACCACGGCAAACCACACTTTTTAGTCAGTTTTATAATTACTAACTGCCTCTTCATCTGGGAGAACTTTTCTAAAAATTCAAACTGTTAAGATAACTATTTAAAACTGCAGGTGCTTCAACTAATCAAGTCCCTTTGTTAAGCTGCAGAATGAAAGATCAAAAGTTACAGAGAATACAATTCTGAAATTTCCTTTCTCAGTAACATTCCATACCTGATTTGACTCTTTAAAAATGTTACTGTTTTTATAAACCAAGGGGAGAAAGAATCTCTAATCCAGATATCCTGCATAGTATTCTCCTTTGATCCTTTTCAAACAATAGGCTTGATCTTGTAAAGCAATGAAAGAGAAACCAGTCACTGTTATTAGTTTGATATATTCATCAATATGTTTTTGTGTCCACTGGAATTCTTTTATTATTGCTGTTGTTGTTTCATCACCCTGTGGCTTTCTCACCATTCAGGCTATATCTTTGAATGCATTAACTCAGGGCAGGGCTGTCAGAGCAGAAACATCAGTGCTGATCAACAGAAGAGAACATTCTTGGCTGCTGAATTAAAAAGTAAGAGTTTGTAAAGCACAAAAAAACATGATTTGTGAGAAAGCTGATTTTGAGTTTCAAAAGCCTGCATTTTGAGTAGGCTTTAACTAGCACATAAAGTTATGTGTTAATAGTAGACTCCAATCGATCAATCAATCAGCGATTCATCCACCAAACTTTGACTCTTAAAATAATCAGAAGTGAATATAGTAGGTTTCTCCAGCAATGGGGAATGATAATTTCCCTAAGTTAGTGGCCTTTTAGCAGAAACCTTTGATAGAATGAAACTGTTCAGAGTGCCCAAAGGGTGCCTTCTTCTCTTGTCAGTATCCCACAGTGATGCCCCATCCCAACGTCATCCCTTCATGACATCACATCTGCTCTTACTAGTTTCAGAGTGCTGGCACCCAAAGATGGCAGGCAAGAGCTACCTTGCCATTGATATACAAACATTCTCAAGTCTGACATTCACTTCTGCAAGTCATATAAACTTGCATGGCAAATTAAGGTTTATAAATGATAGTGCATTCCATGTAAGTGCAGCTTGAAGTTATCCCTGTGTATGTTCCAGCATTATTCAGATAATGCTGGAACTCTTGGAACAATGATGATCCTATGACAGGTAAGAACTCACCAAAACACCAAAGGTAGCTAGCTTGGACACTAAACAAAATATTATAAATAGTAATAATAGCATTAATATGGAATAAGGTCTTTGTGCCTGCTATTTGTCCAAAAGAAAGTTTTACTACACTCAAGTATGATTCAATAAGAATCAATCTGATGCAATTTAAGAGACCAAATAGTGCTTTTAGGTCTTATATGTACTATTTAGATCATTTTTATTTTCAGTATATTAATGGAACTAAGGCCATTTCGCTTAATAACAATTGAAGCACTAACAGTTTTTAAATAAATTTGACACAAATGACATATTAAAGGTTCCCATGAATTCTTCTCAGGGAAATAGTTTGTTTTCAAACTGTATTACTAAGAAATTATTCTTGTGCCTTTAGTTCTTCAACTTAAAAATAAACCATTGTGAAAACCACAAATGTCCCTTAACTCTACAGCATTCTCTCTCATTATCTCTATGTCTCTTGGTTAACATAATATAGAAGTTTATATGTTTCTGGAGTGCCTGGATGGCTCAGTCAGCTAAGTGTCTGACTTTGCCTCAGGTCATGCATGATCTCACAGTTGGTGGGTTCGAGCCCCACGTCGGGCTCTGTGCTGACAGCTCAGAGCCTATAGCCTGCTTCAGATTCTGTGTCTCCTTCTCTATCTGCCTGTCCCCTGCTCACACTCTGTCTCTCTCTCGAATATAAATAAACATTAAAAATTAAAAAAAAAGAAATGTATAGGTTTGCTTATGGTTTTAAGGGAATAGAGAACAGTGATCAGTAACCTGAGTTGGCCAAGTGTCAGGTACCAGTGTCAGTATCAAGAGACCACCTGTTACTGAAAACTCCATTCACTTGCTACTCTTGAAGGTTCTATGGGAATGTATAATATTTTACTGCAAAAAAAAGTGTGTAGTACATGATGAAAATATCCTATTTATGTGTTTTCTGAGCATATCTTCCAGGCAAGGTACTATCATTCTCACATAAAAACTTACATGAAACATCTGTGATCCTTACAGCAAGATTACCCCTATTTTATAGAACAGGAAGTTGAAGTCCAGAGGTTTAACTAATGTCACACTAATAACACATAGCAAAGCCAATATTTAAAACAAACTTTGAAAACCCACACATTTTCCAAAATGGTGTGGTGATTTCCAACTTTGAATGAATTTAATTGAAAAGAGAATCTAAAATCTGATAACCTTAACATAATTTCTATTCTATAGAAATATGATAAACATTGACTTAAAAAAAGATTATGATAAAATATTTTAACTTGAAATGCATCTTTACTTGGATCTTTCCTCAAGCTTGTCATTCTTTCAAAAGTTCTGATTCCATCATAGAAAAATGTAGATGAAAGCATACCACATTTGTTGTAAAGCATGGCTACTGTCTTCGGTAGTACAAATGAATTCATTTATAATCTAGATTCCATTTGACATTTTAAAAAACACTCACATGATTAAATAAGCATGAAAGCAATTTCAGGCTTTTATTATTCAATCTATAAATCAGGACTCAGCTTTAAAGTACGAGAGTCAGTTTCAAATCAGAAATATCTTTGTATAATCCATGAGGTCATGTGTTAACACAAGTGAAGGTATCACTCATTGTTAAATATTTTAAAATGAAGTATTTCCTGATGCCAGTATAATGTGTAGCATTTCTAGTTTCCTACTAAAATATCTGAGTTAACAGTAAAATACCTGTTCTTGTTGACAGGCAGGCACTAGTCTTCCATATTCACCAGAAAGATAAATTTCCTAGTCTCGTTACATAGAATTTATTAATTGGTACTTGAAAGATCACTTACAGTGAGAGAAAACAGGTCACTCTACTTAATACGCTGTTTTATATATCAGTCTCTTATACTTTATAGTCGGGCAAGTTGAGAAAACAGGAGAGGAAGCTCTCTGATTCATATACCACTGGATGCCTTAACAATAGCCAGCTTATCTGACTTTATCAAAAAAGTAAGTGCAGAATGAGCTATCTTAAAAATTGGGAGTGAGCTTCTAAGCACTAATTTAGTTAACATTTCTGTTCCATCATGTTTCATACTTTGAAGGAGGATACAGTGAATGGTCTACTCAAGAGAAATTTGGAGACTCTTAGATCAGATCTTTGTAGAGCCTCTGGAAGCAAATGTCAGCACTAGACATAGATTTTCTGTCACCTCAGTGCCTCTCAGGATGACTTCTATCAGTAGGAAAATGTTTCCTCCCCTCTGTCTCATTCTCTGTCTGCCCTACCACATGTATACCATATTTCCTATATTCTAGTCTCTTAGCCTGCCATTTTTGACATCAGGACATTTTTCACCTTCTCTGATATCATCTTGCCCCTTCCTTCCCAATGCCTTCATCACTTTCCCAATTGTACATGGGTACATGAGAAAACAAAAGAAAGGCAGTTGATGACTACTAGGGAAAGAGCACTGTCCAACCTATTCAGCAGATTGCCATGTTAAGAAATGTTGTCTTTATCATAAAACCAGTATGCCCCCAAAAAGTATGCCAAGAAAAAAAATCACATTTAATTAAGGCAGATAAATAATGACCATTAGGATTTATATATAACCTACTGGTCACAAAATCTTGCATTCTTAGCTATAAAGGGGAGGCAATAGGTGAGAAAATGTGTCCAATTAGTCTAAGTTCTCTGTTTCAAAATACAAACCTTAATATTAGAAATAAACATACTAATGGAATTTACTAAGATCAGTGCATAATATCTGTGACTGGAATGGAGCTAGTTTTAATGTCTTTAAATAAGGAAGATTATATTTACATGTTGCATAAAGATCATCTTCTTAATGCTGAATTTTTAAGCTGTTTCTTTCAACTTGCCTGTTGGAGGTTTAAGAATACAAGTTGACTTATTGACCACTATGTAGTATTTAGAACTAATATTCAGAACATATCTGCTGCTTTATGCTTTCTTATAAAGGACTAATTAAAAAAAAATTTAATGTTTATTTATTTCTGAAACAGAGAGAGACAGAGCATGAGTGGGGGAGAGGCAGAGAGAGAGGGAGACACAGAATCAGAAGCAGGCTCCAGGCTCTGAGCTGTCAGCACAGAGCCTGACGCGGGGCTTGAACTCACAACCCATGACATCATGACCTGAGCCGAAGTCAGTCACTCAACTGACTGAGACACCCAGGCATCCCCAAAGCACTAATTTTTAAAATAAGTAATACCACATTCCATCAGAGAAACTTCTCTGGAATCCTTTTATCATCAATAATCCCAAAGTAAAAATTGGTTTAACTTCTTAAAGACCTTTTTTCATTTCTAGTAAATAAATCATTCAGGTAAAAATAATGGTATCTTAGAATATAGCAGAATTGCCAATGAATTGGAGTTTTTTGATATATATATATTTTGATATATATATACATATGAGATTTATATGAGTTTATATATATTTATATATATATACATATATGTGTATATATATAAAAGAGAGAGAGAAATATATATTATATATATGTTATATATATATTATATATATTATATATTTGTCTCTTTTTTTTTTAACAAAGTAATTCATACTCAGGGTTAAAAAAATTAGAATGTATGATACAAATATATAATGTAAAAATCCAAAATCTATAATCCTAATCCTCAGAGACCACTCTTTTAATAGATTGGTTTATATGCCTTTTTTTTTTTAACCTTTATTTATTTTTGAAAGAGAGAGAGGGAGACAGAATGTGTACAGGGGAGGAACAGAGAAAGATAGACAGACACAGACTCTGAAGCAAGCTGCAGGCTCTGAGCTATCAGCAGAGCCCTATGCAGGACTCAAACTCACGAACCACGAGATCTTGACTTGAGCCAAAGTTACACACCTATCCGACTGAGCCACCCAGGCACCCAGTTTATATTCCTTCTGATTTCCTTTCTCTTCCTATTCTTCTTTCCTTCCTCTATTCCTCACCTGCATGTTACTTATTTATTCATTTGAAATGGGATTCTGCTGTATATACACATGTAATTTTAATTTTCAGTAGAGAGCTGAATTTGGTTCTTTGTGAAAAAGTGAGCTAATACCTATTTCCATAGGGCTGATTTGTTTGTGGAGGATTAAAGTTGCATTGTTTATATTATGAAACTTTAAATCACAATAGAGGATCTACATTGTAAGCAAAGTTACTTTAACTTACCAAGCTTCAGTGTTCTTAGAACTAAAAAGGTGATAATAATACCACTACTCATAGTATGGTGAGGTGTGTAAAGTCATACAGGTGTGGTTATATCCTCCCCAAATTTAGTTAATATTCTCCCCCAAATTATTTTTCCTTAACTAAAAATTTTAACTTTAAGATATCTTCATGCTGTGTATCAAATGTGTAAAATAAAAGCTAGTTGATCCAATACCAAT